AATTTTAAGATGTTGCTGCATTCCGAGATATTTATATAACCTATTGTCTTCAAGCTCCCTGATGTACTCTTTTTCATTGATTAGAATATTCTGCATACTAACCACTTTTCCTTTAGTTACATGGAGCACCGCACATTTATCCAGACCGAGTGATATGCCTATATCACTACTAAAAGATGAAACGGCTTCAACCATACTTTGTAATTGGTCTTTGTTTTTCGCATATAGTTTAAGGTCATCCATGTACCAGCTGTGGCTGACTGTGGTGGCTTCGTCGTTGATGATTAATTTGTATCCCATCTTGTTCTTTCGAAGAATCCTGCTTAGTGGGAACAAAGCCATACAGAACCATAAGGGGCTTAGACAATCTCCTTGGTATATTCCTCTCAATATTTTAATTTGATTCCCTTTGCAGATAGTTCCAACTTTCAGCGTAGTTTTCCAACCTGTCATTAAGTTTGAAAGGAGCCTGCTTACTTTAGATTCAACCTTGTATATATCTAGTACTTTAAGTATGATTATTATTATTATAATAATAATTATTATTATTATAATTATTATTATTATTATAATATATATTTATAACTTATTATATATTTATAACTTATTATTTACCTGAGTGAAGTTTTAGATTTTTAATTCTTGTAAATAAGTTTGATAATAAAAACATACATTGCAGTAACATAAATTATAAGACTTCGGCTTTCAAGGTGTTTTCATTAGATGTTTGCAATTAAATAAACTATGGAAATGAAGTGTAAAATTAGACAACAAGAAAAAATCGTGAATGGGAGTATATCAAATCATATAAAATATCAGATAAATAATCATTTATCTGAATAAAGTTTTAGGTGTTTAATTTGAGTGTGTGTTACACTGTTTAAAAGGATCTATCTCTAATTTTGAATAAAATATGACTGATTTTCATTTAAATACTTAGTTTAATTCTTGTAAATGAGTATTATAATAAAAAATACAGAGCACTAATATAAATTATAAGACTTCGGCTTTCAAGGTGTTTTCATTAAATGTTTGCAATTAAATAAACCATGGAAATGAAGACTATACAAATCGAGGAAAGGTCATAATTTAAAATAAATGTACTATAATAAAATTTGTTGATTAATAATTAGTGGGAGTTAAAGAAATCATTAAAATTTGATCTATTTGATAAAAAGTAAAATAAAAATCTAGGTAAAGTTTTAGTTATTAAATTTGAGATGTGTTGCATTGTTTCAAAAGATCTATCTTAAATTTCAAATAAAAAATTACTTTAATTTTCATTATTACTTTAATAATTTCACATAGCAGTAACATAAATTATAAGACTTCGGCTTTCAAGGTGTTTTCATCAGATGTTTTCTACTAAATAAACTATGGAAATGAAATGTAAAATAAAACGATATGAAACAAGATAAGCTCCTCATTTCAAATAAATGTATTATTGTAAAATATGTGAATTAATCGTGAACGGGAGTAAAACAAATCAGATAAATAATCATTTATCTGAGTAAAGTTTTAGGTGTTTAATTTGAATGTGTGTTGCTCTGTTTAAAAGGATCTATCTTAAATTTTAAATAAAGAATGACTGATTTTCATTTAAATACTTTGTTTAATTCTTGTAAATAAGTTTTATAATAAAAAAAATATAGAGCAGTAACATTAATTATAAGACTTCGGCCTTCAAGGTGTTTACATTAGATGTTTGTAATTAAATAAACCATGGAAATGAAGTGTAAAATAAAACGATACAAATTGAGAAAATATCATAATTTAAAATAAATGTACTATAATAAAATTTGTTGATTAATAACTAGTGGGTGATAAACAAATCATTAAAATATTTGATAAAAAATAAAATAAAAATCTAGGTAAAGTTAATTTGAGTTAAGTTGTATTGCATTGTTTCAAAGGATCTGTCTTAAATTTCTAATGAAATATTACTTGAATTTTCATTTGAATACTTCTTTTACTTCTCGGATATAATTTTTATTATATCAAATACAGAACGTTAATGATGTTGATGTTTTTAAGTTAAATATGCCAGGGAGATTAAATGTAAAATAAGACAATAAAAATCAAAAAAAGATCATAATTTAAAATTAATGTATTAGAGTAAAAAATATATAATACTTATTTGGAAAAATGTTGAATATTTTCATTAAAAATGATATTTAGACTTTCATTGTGTTTTCAAAAGATTTTTGCACCTACAGAGTAATGTATTTATGTTGATTACTTACAAAAACAAAAAAATATTTCTTATTAGAAAGCTATTATCTTTTTTGAGTTTTCTTATAAATTTTTTGCCTTACCAATTGAGTTTTGATAAGAAAAAGTAGGTGAAAAGCAAAAAGGTTTCATAAAAACTTCATTTTTATTATAGTTTTATTTTATTTACATTTATTTCAGCATATTAAAATTCAAAAAGGGGGAAAGGATCTTTAATGTCAAAGCTGAAGTTTTAAATTCTTTATTAAGACTTTAATTTGGCCAAATATAGCCATTTTCAAATCTGGAAATAGATATTACTTATTTCTATGAACTTACAACACAACATACGTATCCCTGTATATTTAATTTTCAATTTCAGGCTAAACATAACATACAAAAATAATATTGTTACGTTATTACAACTGTAAAATGTTATAAAGATACTTTTATATTGATATTTATATCATACATTTATATGTAATGTTATTGCTTCCTTATAAAACAAAATTGGAAAGACATTAAAACGAAATTAGATATTTCTTTGAAAGTCACACTGTACTAGTCCTGAGCTAAATTATTTATTAATTAGTTTTATTTCTTGCTTACTGTTATTAATTAATATATCTTTCTTGCTTTATGTCCTTATAACTAAATGAGGAATAGTAAAACATTTAAAAAATATGATTATTTAGCAGTTTCTTAAGAGTTTTTGTTTTGAGCTAGGTTTTTCACCTACACATGCAGACCATTTTGCAGGACTTGATTATTTGGCCTTAGGAGACTTTCAAGGGAATATTTCCATTGAAAACAGATTGAATATTTTTCACAATCACAATACTTTTCCTAATTATGTATTTTGTATATAGGTAAGTTAAAGTAAAAACTATCAATGTAAATGACCCAAAAAAATAATTAATAAAGTTCAACAAATATTTGGTATAACATTACTAAACATGACTCAAGGACTCACCTAATTATAAATCACATAGTATATTATTAAATATAAATTATATTAGGTTTAGGGTACTATTTAAAAAAATCTAACGAACATTACAATAACAATCTAATAAGAGGTGGATGAGTGAATAAAACATAGCTATCCTGTAGGATTAATGTTATATATGGCTAATGCTGATGCAATAAGTCATTTGTTACAATTTTACACGTTTATTCTCTTTGCACTAAAGATAATATTGTGATAATATTTTGTAGTCTGCAACTGAGGTAAGTAGTCAGCTAAATAGGAAAATAACAGAGGGAGGTAAAATATGTAATTATACTAATAAATCATAAAGATATAATCAGTTTTATGCTCTTCTAAGAAAAAACTCAATTTTATCAAACAACCTTTTGTGCTAACAGTTCCAATATAAAATATAAAAACAATTCACCTGTCACAACCATTATAATGTATTAATAAACAAAATATGTTTAGTAAAATAAATATAATTCTCATCAGTAACATACATTGGTGGTATATTATTATAATGATAAATATAAGACATATAACTGTGGAAGAAATTATCCCAAAGAAACTAAAAAAATATAAGCAAAACCATAAAATGATTTTCTCTTACAATTAATACAACAGGTTTAAATCAGTAAGTATTTAATGACGTGTTATTTAAAAAGAAATTAAGACATATCTAATTAATAAAACTAGTAACATTTTGAAATTATGCAGAATAAAACAGTAATACAAAATTGTTATTAAATTATATTTATTATTTGTCAAAATTAATACTATGATTATAAGTAAGATAAATGAGCACATGCCAATATGTATTTTTTTGGCAAGTACATGATTAAAATATATATATCATTTTGGCATGGTAAAATGAAAACAAATAATAAAAAAGTAGTTTTTAATTTAACAAATACAATCATTGCAAATATTGTGGGTTCAATTTTTAACCGTGTGCTATTTCATGTCCACAATAACATCCTAAATTAATAAATAAACAATAAATCTCAAAAAGCTAACAGTAAATTCGATAAATCTTCTAGTATTCATATATGTCAGAACTATTTTGGATAACCACTTCTTCTATGTCGAGAATATTTTCCTCTTATGTAGTTCAGCTGATAAAGCTGCTGAAATAGTTTCACAAGTTGAAATGCCTACTTCTTTCGTTTGAGCTAGAATAAGAACTCTGGTAGGCAAACTTTCTTCTACACTCCAATTTCCATCTTTATAGCAATTCCTAAACAATTTCAATTAAAAAGTAATATGACAATAGATTTAGCACTCATTAAATAAAATATTGAATATACACAACAAAAATCGTGTGTCAGCATCATGCTGTTAGTTTCTATTAGTGCAATAACAGTTGTGTACACTTACAACTATTAAAATAAAATATTTATTAAAATATAACTATTTAACTTTTATTTCAGGCTTAAGATAAAGATGTAATGTTCTAACTAACGGTTTTAGTTTGTTTTTATGAATATGCCTAAATCCAAGATTGACTGGGAAAGCTCAAAACCGCAAATCCTAATTACATTGTACTTACAGGCTTTTGCAGTGTGGCTGTCGATATATTGTAAATGTTTTGATTTTTTTAAATTAAAAGATTTTAAAATTCAAATATTATAATAATTTTGTAAATTAAAATAATACATTTTTAGTTTCCAAGGTTTGAGGAAGAAAAATACACATATAAAAATTTATTCAAAAAGAAACACCTATATATACAACAAAACTCTTTATTAAAAATATAAATAAAATACTTTTCTAATGAAGAAGCTTAAAGTTTTACATTTATATTCAGATTTCAGGATGTTTATTTAATCATTCTATAGATCTTTGGTAAGGAGATTTGTTTAGAAGTGGCAAAGGAGTAATAGTTTATTAAAAATAAAAAGTAAAATGTCCTAAAGATAAGATAAGGACCAAGAAACATTGTTGACAATATACTGTGATTATTGGAATAATAAAGTATTCTGTACTTTTTTTGTTTTACTTCTTGAAAGTAGAGATTTTCATTTTTGTTTAGCATCGAATCAATATATTTACCTAAAAAACAAATAAGAAATTTTAGTGAATATTAGAGCGGTATTGAAAACATATGTATATCAATAACATATACTATCAATAAAATAGAGAGAAGTTTATGTAATATATTTATTTGAAATATTAATGCTTTTAAATTAAAAATAGAATTGGAAAGCTGCTGAATGCATGGGAAAAAATGGAAGATTTTTCTCTTCAGTATGAAAATATGAAATGAATAAATTTTAAATAATAAACTTACTTAATAAAACCAACATACTTTTCCCTGACAGCTGTTTGACCTACTTCTTCGATATTTGAGTCCAAGCCAGATTTCAGATTATTATGAAATTCTCACATTTCCCTTTCCTGAATTTTTGCATACTCCAAATAACTCGCATACTCCCAAGACTGAATCTAAGTAATATATAGGAAAATTAACACAGAATCATCCAGTATTAATAAATTAAAAATAGTAATTTTTAAATCATAAACATATATGTTAAACCCCCGTGATTGGGAAAAGATTTTGATTTCTCCTCACAAAAACTTGAAACTAAATTTTAAAAAAATATATATCTATCATGAAAGGACACAATAGATCTCGAATCTCCAAACTTTTTTTTAGCCACATTGAAATCTTCAATAAGTCCTGCAGCCCATGGATTGTGGCGGAAAAAAAAGTTTGTTTTTTAAATGACACTTCAGTTATGATATGATCTTTCTAAGTGAAACAATTCAATAAATGCTGTAATAATTTAGTGTTGGAGTGATTTGATAAATTGTATATATCTAAATAGTTTTTTTAATTTTACTATGTAATTAAAGAAGCTTTCACAGGCCAGATTCGGCTTGTGGGCCGTAGTTTGAAGAATCCTGCAACAGATGACTGGTAATTAATAGAGTAATTCATCTTCATCTTAAACTTGCTTTAATTAATAATAATACTTTATTTATTCTGGGATGAGTCCCTTAAGAATAATACAGGAAGACAGAAATGTGGGCTAAGGAGCCTCAGAGATACTTAAATAAAAATACACAGTAATTGAACAGTCTTGGTGAAAAAAAAAATATATATATATTTTTTTATTTTTTTTTTTTCACCAAGACTGTTCAATTACTCTGTATTTTTATTATCAACTAATCAAAATTGGAAAGCAACTTATATGTATATGTGTGTGTATATATATATATATATATATATATATATATATATATATATATATATATACACATATACATATAAGTTGCTTTCCAATTTTGATCAGTTGATAATAAAAAAATAGATGAAAAAAAATTGGAGTAATAATAATAAAGAACAAACTAATAATTTATGTACATATTTACAGTAGTATCTATTTACAATTTTATGGGGATTGGATGGATAAGAAATTATTGAACAGGCGGGATTTAAAGGTAGGAAGGGTATTGGATTGACGGATGTGGGAAGGGATGAGGATCTGATAATGAACGATTTGTCGAAAGCAGCGGTTCGGTGGGCCCTTATGTATAAATCAGAAGACCGGGAACGAGTATAGCGGTAACGAACAGAGGATTTGAATTGAAGGAGCTCAGAGATGTATGAGGGACGGTGGGATTGGATATCTTGAAAGAGGAAGGATGGCAGGAGATACGACGGTAGGAAGGATAAAGCCACTTTAACTCCGCATAAAAATGGGAAACAGAGGCGCCCCTTGGGAACCAGAAGATGAATCGTACAAAGCAATTTATCAAACGTTTTAGTTTCGCCTCGAGATCCCCATATACCGTACAGCAATAGTTAAAGTGAGGAAAAATTAAGGAAGTGACTTGGAGCCTATGGGTTTCAAAAGGAAATAGGTGACGGGAGTAATTTAGACGTTTTAGGGTGGAAATTGTATGGCGAGAAATATTGGATATATGATTAATCCAAGAAAGCATTTGATCAATGGTTATTCCTAGATTTTTGATGGTGGGGTGAAATTTGATGGGATTATTGTGTAGGAACAGAGTTGGAATATTAGGAACAGTTTTAAGGAGGTGATTGGAGCCTATTAAGATTGCCTAATACTGTATTATAATATTTACTCGGTCAGATAATAGTTTAATTTTTCAATGTAGTCAAGTACAATGTATTTCCTAGGATACATTTTTTTTTCTTTTGAGAATTCTTTGGTTTACAGGATTCTCACACTATTAGGCAATGGTACAGTCAAATTTTTCAGAAAGCATTAAATTATATTAAATTTTTCTCAGTAATTCCTCACCTGTAACATATAAAACTTATATATGGTGTCTTCAAGGAATATATAAGCTCTTTTATTTTAAAGATTTAAGAAGACACTATATATAAGAACATTGAGTACACTTGAAAAATAGGTTGTTGTAGCTAAATACAAGAACTTTTTTTTTTACTTCTTAAAAGTAGAGATTTTCATGTTTGTTTGTTTACCATCGAATCAACATATTTATCTAAAAACCAAATAAGAAATTTTAGTGAATATTAGCGTATATATATATCATAATATTATATATATATATATATCTGGAAAGATTAATATACAGATATCAACTTTATTTACCAACACTAAAATAGAGAGAAGATGGACCTGAAATGTTTATCTGATGAATTTATTTGAAATATTAATGCTTTTAAATTAAAAGTAGAACTGGAAAGCTGCTGAAACTAAACTATTTCTTTTAGCGACAATTCCATTCCACTAAAAATTAAAACAGTTATTTAATAAACTAAATTTGGACTCCCACTAATTCATGCAATACTTGAATTCACATTTCTTCATAAGTCCTAAGAGAGATACTTTTTTTCTGAGGTATGTATGTAAGATTTAATAAATGTTATTTTATTATGACGTTTCGGGATCCACTTTCTTATCCCATCTTCAGACAGTATCTCATCCTAATATCATCTGATTTTTTTTTATAAGATTTATCATAATTATTTTATTATTGTCATAACTCATTCCTTAAATAATATTTTGGACTCCTCTAGAGAGAGCCTAGTCAGATATTAGGGTGAGATACTGTCTGAAGATGAGATAAGAAAGTGGATCCCGAAATGTCATAATAAAATAAAGAAAAGTTATTGGGAGAAAAAATACTGTTATTAAATCTTACTTATACACCTTGAATTTACATTTTTCATTCATAGGATGTAGAATCAGAAAAAGTCATGAAGTTTTTACAAAAGTTATTTGTGCTAAGAAATTTATCCCTCATAGTTTAATTAATACTCATACTTGTTAATTTCACTTCTATATAAATTATTTGATTGAGAAGCAAATCATTTATTAAATTAAAAATTTAATTTTTTGATCATAAATTTAGATAATACCTACTTATATATGTTTTCGTTTCATTTTATGCATATTCTATAAAAATCACCACTGTATCCATTATATATGTTATTATTATCATCACTCACTTATTGAGAAAGGATTATGCCTTTTTATATAGGTTCTGGATTATTATGAGAGACAGGAATGAATAATAAATTAAAATAATGTAGTTATTGAAGCACAAGAAAGATTAATTATGTTTAAAATATGGATTCCAGGCCTAATTATTTTTTAATGTTTTTCCAATGATAGAGCTATACTTTTAATAATATTTTTTGAATTTCAATATTATTTATGGATAAAAAAATACTAACTAAACCAAAATTGAAAAAAAAAAAAACACACTTTTATTTATTAAATATAGAATCCAGTCACAATGTACCAAGTGCACTATATTTTAATTTCACAGAGGGACAATTTATCGAAGTATTAAGTGATTTCATTTTATAAAATGTTATTTAATAACTTTTTGCAATAAACCGATGATATTGCAATCTAATTATTTAATGAAGTTAAATAATATTTAAACCATTCATTAATAATCGCTCTTTTTAAGAAGAAATCATATATCGATTTCTTACTCGTTCACGAACGCGATTTCCAAAATTGTTTTAGCTCGTTATCTTTGTTTTTGTTTGGCTTTAAAAGTCATGCCTTTTAGACAAGATAACACACATCGAAATTTTATTTATTAATGGTGGAAGTATTTAGTTTATTTGTATTTAAGTGATGGACCCATTTTATAATCCAGTGCCTTACTCTTGTTGATGAAATAGTTTATTAAACATTTTAGAAAAATGTGCGATGGTAGTAGCTCATGGAAAGAAAGTCAATTGCGGAATTATGATATTCCTTTAAAAAGTGTGCCGAAACTCTCATTTGATGATCCCAGAGTTGAACAACTAATATCAGAGAATGTATACTACACTTTTACCCTTTGTTATATTTAATTTAGTATGTTATTTAAAGTACAATTTGTTTTAGAAACCTGTCATTATTACTGGCTCTGATTTGGTTTATTCTGCTTCCAAATGGAACTTAGAATATCTAGAGAAACATATGGAAAGTTCAACCTGTACTGTCATAATGTCTCCAAACCATATTTTCAAGTATTTTGATGAAAAAGCAATTACTCCTGCTATGAAAAATAAATTTGTACCCCCAACAAGAAAAGTATCAATGAAAATTAGTGACTTTTCCAAGAGACTGAACAATTGGAAAAGTGGAGAAGAAAGGTATGTATTGCTTAGTTACTTTCATTTCTTTGGTTTGTCATTTATCTAAGTTTTTCTAATTTTACTTGATGACTCACCAAAGTTATTCATAAATTTATAATATTTTGTTATTTTAACGGTAATAATTATTTTAAGGGTTATTGAATTGTTATCTATATCTTAGGTTGTATCTACAGCAAACCCTAAATAACACTGTAGGGCCTGCTATAGTTCAAGATTTCATCAAGTTTCGATGGGACTGGATAACAGCAATTCAAAAAAAGATGGCTTGGGGCCCTCTTACATCCAATTTATTATTGATAGGAATGGAAGGTACTTCCTAATGTTTTTTTTTTTTTTTTTACAAATGACATTTTTGTTAATATTCGCTGTGATAATTTTGTGATTTTGTTTTTAGGTAATGTAACACCATGTCATTATGATGAACAACAAAACTTTTTTGCTCAAGTCAAAGGCTGGAAAAGGGTTATCTTATTCTCGCCAGAACATTACGGATGCTTGTATCCTCATACTGTTTTTCATCCTCATGATCGTCAAAGTCAGGTATCTAAATAAAAGGTAACTTATTGAAACTTGTGTCGCAAAGGTATCAAGTAAATGAAGTATTCTAAGGAGAAAATTATTTTTAAATATATTTTTAATATAGTATTAACTTATATTATTAGTAGTCACTTCTTCTCTTTTCCATTTCTGTTATTCTTCTAATAATTTTATTTTTTCTATCGGTTCTTAAAAGGATATAGAACCTTTTTATACCAAACACTAATTTTTTTTCACCTAAATGCATATCTACTGATGTTATAGGCAATGAAAACCTTGTTACTACAATTTAATTAATTTTGCAAGAGAAAGAATTAATTTAAAAAACAAAAATGTGTAAAAGAGTATATCAAATTTGATTTTTTATAGTTTTTAACTACATAGGACAAACTTTATTTTTTTATTGATTATAGATATCTATTTAGTTTTTCATCTCCTTTTGTATATGGAGTTCCAAAGTTTTAATAGTCTGATGGAGTTGTAAGGTTTACATTGCCAGCCAATGACTGGTATGTCACTAATAATTTAATTATATCTAATATATCACTTATTTTGTGGATTTTATTGTATTTCTCAAATTGTTTAATTGTGTGTACTTTATTTATTATGTCTAAATGTGTTAATTTGAATAGATATTTTCTGACTGATACATTAAAATAAATATATTTCCCATAATTATTAGATATTGGTACTACGTGTCATATTAGTGTTAGTTTGATTTCTCCATTCTAAGGAAAATGTGTTAAAACCAATGTCGCCTGATTGTAAATCTTATGCTGTTTTATGTATTTCCTTAAAGATTATTTCTTTGTTATTAATATCAAAGTAAATTACTAACTCTCCTTCAATATGAGGAGTATGCATAATGCTTTTATTCAAATATATTTTTCATAAAAAAAATGTTTTCCCTTCCTACTAATTCACCTCAATATATTTTATATTTGGAATCCAATTTTAAACCAATATTCTTCTACACTTTGTCATTACATTTGCAATTTATACAAAAGATACTTTCTTTACCAGCATCAAGATTACCGACATTTTGGCTAAAGAAATAATAAAACAGAAAATATTTTGGCACAAAGAAAACACGAGCTCTATATAAATAATTCTCCATATTTTAACTAAATTAGAAAATAATTTTAAAGCGGATATGAAGGATAAAGCGAGAGTGTCTAGATTTAATGATCTTTATAAGGATTTAAACAGCAACTTAGGTGAAAGGCATTACATAACAGATGTAAATAAAATGCATTTGATAAAGTTATATTTAAATTGCGTGGACAATTAGTATTTCTAAACAATAGTGTTACGAGGAGTGAGCAACAAATATTGTGTAGCCTTTGTAATTTAAATGAAATAGAGGATGTATACCACTACGCCTCTGTTTGTCTGGTTTTACAGGAATATCGAATCAAATATTTTAAGAAAAAAATCATAAACCGAAATGAACTTGTAAACATACTCAATGGCAAAGATTGTAGCAGTTTATATATGTATCACATATACGCTTATAAATATAGGATCTTTTTGATTCAGCAATACAACACTTAGCATTCTTTAGTTATATGTCAACAAAAGCAAGTATAATATTAAGGTTATACAACATAAATTATTTCTTTCTTATTTTTGACTAATTAAAGTTTATTTAGAATATATGTATCAGGTTGTTTTATATTGTTTTAAATAAGGAAAGGCTGTTTAATGTTTGCAAAGTTAATAGTTAATTGTTTTTATTTATTTTATTATTTTAGTGCCCTCTCTCAGTCTCCACTGGATTCCCATCCTAGTGATGCGGCTGAGAGAGAAGCGCTGGGATCTCTTGGAGTCTTGCCTTGTCCTCCACACGTGGAGAAAAAGGCCCGACTCGGAGCTCCCTTGGCTGACTGTAAATATTGTAAATAAGTTTGAATGTGTTTTTATTTTATTTTTTTTTTATTTTAGTTTTTATTTAATGTTATATCAGTTTGATTTATTCTGTTACTCCAAGTTTTATTTTATTTTATTTTCTTATAATCTTGTTGTTCGTTTATTGTATATATGGTATGATTGTACTTCATTCATCATAAATACTCAATGCCCTTAATTGAGGCAAAATGTATTTTTTTTCTCAATAAAAAAAAAAAAATTATTATTATTATTTCTTTTCATTGTAAATATTTTTAGGTAAACTCCAGGCAGACGGTTCTATACCATTGCCAAAAAAAAAGTTTTGTCATTAAAAAAAAGAAGGAATATGTAAAATGTATATGAAACAAAGCTTTCTTTCTATCTATCTATTCATACCATTTATTTTTTAATTTGTCTTTAGTTTCAGTATTTTAATTATAAAATGTTCAGAGAAATTTATTGATAAACTTCTTTGTTATAGGTGGATTTTGAAAAACCAGATTTAAATAAATTTCCTAGATTTGAAGAGGTTCAAGGAGAGGAAGCTATCGTTGGCCCAGGAGAAGTTCTTTACATACCTGTTTACTGGTGGCATCACGTAGAATCTTTACTTAATGGTGGTTACACTGTATCCATTAACTTCTGGTACAAGGTACTTAATTTCTGATCTTAAATATAAATAAATCATTGTTTTGTTTAAAAAAAATAAATGGCTTCTATCAAGCTTATATTTCTTTATTAGTAATTAATTATTTGTTAAATAAGTGGTAGACTGACAAGGACTTTTCTGTTTAAATGTAAACTATTTTTTAATTGGTCTTCTGTATCAGGGGACTCGTAAACTTTTTGGCCTGCAGGCAACATTGAAGCCTCCACTACGTCCCATGGGCTATATTGAGATCTCCTTGTGAGTCTCAGGAGCCATTGCTTGCAATGAAAACAATTATCTTGTTTTATAAATGGCATTACAGTGGTGAAATGAGCTTTCTAACAGAAAAAACTCATACAATAAAGGTTTTAGTAACCTCGCGTATGAATGATTTACTGAATTTCATATTTTTTATGCAGTTTTTAAAATCTTACCATGTAATCACAGAAACCTTATGTGCCCACGGACCAAGGTTTGGATATACTCTGTTCCATATAAACTTTCTTTTTTGGACAAATCTCTTATACCAACAACCTTCATTTATTGAATGAGATGTTGTAATTTTTGTTGAATTCACTTTACCATTTACGAGTGGCATACTGAGGGAAAGTTCATTGGTTTATTAGGGTCAGGCCTGCCACATGCAATAAAATCAATAACAAATTTAAATATTTGTGGTAGTTATAAAAAAATCTTTTTGGCGCTGAGAATCCAGATCTTTATCTCCAGGGTTAGTTACCCTTTGAAATAAGTCGATCACTTCATTAATTTGTATTTTAATTTTTGTCTAACCTTTTACTTATTTATTTATTATTTTAAAATTTTTAAATAAAAATTTTTTAAACTTATTTATTTATTTTTAAATTTAATCTTGTTTTTACAGGCTGGTCCCACAGTTGATATTATTTATCCTCTTCAAGGACACCAGAAATTAGCCATCATGAGAAACGTTGAAAAAATGTTAATCGAAGCGCTAAAAGACCCAGAAGAAGTCGGTTCCTTATTTAGAGCTATTGTTCTCGGAAGATACACTGGAGATTCATAGGCCACCGAGAAACAAATTTTATAATATTATTTGTTGATTTTATTTATATTCTATTTCATTGAGCGAGACGTTGTCGCTAACAATTTCTCTAAGCTCAAATATTTATAAATGTATATTATACTTGATTATAGGTAAATTATAAAACTTTTAAATGCATCTTATTTTTTTTATTTTACCTGTTGTTGATTGTTCCTCAGCGGACTGTTATACACACCTCATACATGTGAAATCAGAGTTCTGCCTACTTATGAAGATTATTATTATCATTATTACTATTAAAATCTGCTACTAATATTTATATATTTGGTTAGGCAGTGTTGCTTGGTACAGAAATTAGATCTGATTAAATTTACAAATGGCTTTACTTTAACTCCTGAAGATATAAGTGATCTACAGTTAGTTTGCTTTTTACATTTTATATAAAAAATTACTGACATCAAAGTTATAGAGGCAGCTCTCAAAATGCTTGATTATGTAGCAGCAGGGTGAGAATAAGGATGAGCTAGCCCATGCCTTGATCTTATTAAAACAGTAAATTTTAGAGATTTAAATAGAGCCTGATATGTCCTTATTGTGACCTTATTATTAGCAGAGGAAAACATTTTTAGAGGTGTAGGCCAAAGCTTTTTTAGAAGTGAAGGTCAAGAGCTACAAAAAAATTTATCTAAACAATGGTCTGAATTTCTCCAGAAAAATTGGAAATTACATTTTTGTGTTTTGTTTTAAAGCGTCATGTTTTTTTAATAATCAGAAGCAATAATTTAAAAAAAATTCAATTCAAGTAATTAACAATTGCTTCACAATAAACTAGAACAAATTTAATTCAAATGAAAATAGAATTTGTTATTGTTGAAACCATTCAAAAAGGAATTTTGAGTGGATAAACTTAGCTAAGCTTTGTTTTAAAATAAATCATGATTTTTTTATCACACTCCAACTTGTGTACCGATACCACACTTTTAGAAAACTTCCTTGTTTAATAAGCTGTAAGTCCATATTAATTTAATTGAGGTTTATTATTAAATAAGTTGAGATTCACCTCAAGTTTGTAAAAACATTTGTTGATTTCATACCTAAATATATTACACATATATATTCGTAAGTGAAAGTAAAAAAAAATACAGGTATTATGTATTGCCAATAGCCTAAAAAGTTGACTAAATACCTCAATCATTAATATTTATTGTTTATATTAATGATTGTGGCTTTCAGCCTGCTTTTTAAGGTGTGAAAAGTGACATCTCAATTTTTATTGTTTGGCTCTTAGCCTGTTATTGGCATAATTTCTAATTATAAACTGAACTCTGGCTTAAATATATATAAATATCAAAGACATTTTTATCCTTTATTTATTTCAGGAATAAATTTTGCTACATTAAGTTATCATTCATACTGTGTAAATAATTTTAATTAATACATAAAATAAAAAATTTAATTTGTCGTAACCGATTTGGTTGCATTAATATAAAATGTAATTTTTCAGGCAAACATTATTATCTTCATCTTGAGAATTAGTTATCACAGTCCAATTTAAATAAGACAGCTTAGGGAACTGAATACCTGAATTGACTACAATTATGAATCGTTTGTTACTTATAACTATTTTATTAAAAAGATTAATAATTATATAGTTAAATACTGCTAAGAGAAAAATTAACAAAAATTATGGTGTACCAATAAAAAAATTCGAGAAATAATATATAGTAGATATTGTAATTTTTATGTGATTAGGAATCCATGCCAACCATAGCTTAAAGATTAACTTCTTTTTCTCCGGCTCTACAGTCTAAGGTGAACTTTGGCCTCTCCAAAAATGTTTTACCATCCTCTGTCTATGACCCGTCTCTTCCAGTTGGTCACTCCAATTTAATTAAGGTCCACTTCTACATCCTAATCCCGCATTTACGTGGGCGTCTCCTCTTTCTTTTTCATGGGAACGTTTCGCACAGAACTTTTTTGGGCATTCTTTAATCTGGCATTCACTCGGTATGATCCAGCCAACTAATTCTTCTAGCTTTAATGAACCTTTCAATATCTTCATGCTGTATCAGGTCATCCAATTCTTGATTACACCTAATGCGCCATGTGGCCTTATTCATTTATTGGACCGAAAATACGTCTCATAATTTTCTTTTCAAATATTCTAAGAGCTTCCTAATCGGCTACTTTAAGCGTCCAAGTCTCCGCGCCATAGCACACAACAGGCCTGATAAGGGTCTTATATAATTTGAGCTTTGTGCGTTTTGATATTAGGGCAGATTTAATCAACCTAGAGAGACCGTAATAAGTTTTGTTGACACCCATTATTCTTTTCATAATCTCGTCACTCACTCTAACCATACTGTTTATTTCAGTGCCAAGGTAAGTGAAGCGATCAACAGCTTCGAATGTATAGCTATCGTATCTAAAATATTGCTTTCTTCTTCTTGCCTCTTAGAGCTTGATGCTACAATGTATTTGGTTTATCTCAAGACCCACAATTTTACTTTCTTGCACAATCTTGTCAGAATTTGCTGCATTGCCTTCTCACTTCTTGCCAGAACCACAATTTTATCTGCGTGCCCAAGTATTTGACATAAGCGAGATGCTAGACTTCCTACGGTCACAATATTTTCTTGTGTTTTATGTAACACAATATTAAACAAAACAGCAGAGAGGGAGTCTCCCTGCCTTACACCAGAGGCAAACTGTATTTTCCTGCCTGTGTCCGGGACATTGTCATTTTTATTAAATTAAACGGAACTTTAAATTCTTTTAGAGCATTAAACAGTTGAACTCTGTTCACACAATCAAAAGCTTGCTTAAAATCAATAAATAGAATGTGGACATCTGTATTAAGCTAATAACATTTTTCCAGCACTGCACATCAAAATTAACTACCGCTAGTATAAGATTGGACCCATGCTTTAACTTTTACAATTGGTCAACTTTTGAAACCTCCTAATGTTTTTAGGGACTCTTATTGTAATTGTAATATAGTTTTAAGCTTTGAAATTGGCGGAAAACAGAAATTTACTACCACAGATTGATTTATTGAATAATTAATAAACTGTAATTGTATTTATTAATTTTATTTAGGCCATATCAAAACTGAAATTTTATGAGATAGAACCACATACGTACATATTGTAAAGGATTATTGGTTATACTTACGTACATATTGTTAAATTGGTGTAGCAAAATATTTACTAGAGTGGATGAAACAAATATTTAAAAGGTAAGGTAAGAAAACTAAGGTCTTTTATGATAATTTAAAAATTTAATTTAATTTTAAATACATAGAATATTTAAGGCACTTTACAAATAACTTGAACTGTTAGTTGAATTTCATGTCTTTGGATTGATAAATTAAGACTAGATGTATAAACCAAACTAAAGTTTATTTTCTTTACTTAAATGACTATGCACAATGTGCTTACATTATTTACTTGATTATTTCAATGCATTTTTAAAAATATAAGTTCTTACTTAATGTAAGGATTGTAGGACATAAATATTTCTTATTTTTTTAAAAAGAAGTTCTTAAACTTCTTACGAAAACTAAATCTACAGCTTTAAAATCTGTCAATAAATAGGCGAATAAATAATTAAACAATAGGAATAAATAATACACTCTTGGAATGTAAAATAGACCCTAAAATAAAATAATTAACATTAATATACACTGTACACGTTTAGTATTTCCTAACACTTAATCATACAATAAGACCTAGATGGCTACATATGAAAAAGTATTAAAAGTATAAAATAGCGATTATATTCACACAATTTTATTTACATTGTTCTAAAATTAAAATAAAATACAGAACAGTACAGTCTTGTTTGGTGATTTATAAAACCTGAAGAAAAATGCATATTTACCCCTCAATTCATGCAGTTTTTGTATATTTTACTTTTTTTTTTTTTAAATTATATATAAGGATAAAATTCAGGGTAAAATTAGGACAGCTTTGCGACATCCCAGAGTTTCTTTCCGATATTTTGTTTTATAATTATTATCCATTTACATGATTTTCATTATCATAAATTGAGTGAGTATGGTATGAAATAGCATGAACGGAGGGATGATCAATTCTAATCAAAGCTACTAAGTTTTTGAGTAGAAATAAAATTGTATGCAGTATTCCAACTGCAGGTTTACATAAATCAATTGAGAAAGTTTTACAATGGATATAAATAATTATTATAGAGCTGTTTCCAGCTTTGATAATTTTGTTTTGAATTTTTTGTCTTGGTCATTAACCAATGAAGAAGAAGCCAACTTGTGATTTTCTTGGTCTTGCTCTGCCTGTTCATCTTCGTCATCACAATCTTCGAGTATTGTGGAAGAGAGAACATCATGGGACAATGGTTTGATTGAAGGTTGTAATCCTTTATTCTTGAGCCTGTCAACTGCTGATCCTCTAGTGGGACTTGTCCCCCAAGCAGCCTGCAATAGGAGCTTTTTAAAGTCATTCCTAGATGTCGGTTGCTGTGGACCATGCCTATCGGAGGCCAATGATGATCGTTCCGGATTGTGGGAGTTTCTTGTGAACGGCTCATGAGGTTGCCTTGAATACGCTTTTCTTTGAAGGTTTCTTGGAGATTCCTCAAGAGTCTGAACTTGCAGTCTTGGTAGTGACCCATAACCGATGTTAGCTTGCTTTACATACCTTTGCTGATTGATATTTGTCAAAGGCGGCATGGGCTTTGGAATGTTACTGTCTAACGGCCCCGGAACAGGGCCAACAATTTTCGCAGGAATTGCTTTAGGCCAGTTAATTGGCTGATTCTGAGGCTTCTGTAAACTCTGAATTCTTTTTTTAGATTCATGAATTATAGCATACAGATCCATTGCAGAACGACTATTCTTAGTTGGAGTAGTATTTTTACTAATCGGTGAAGTAGTTGAGAAGTTTAAAGGCGGAGATTCGTTAGCTTTAGTGGGTGTAGAAGTCGATCGAGGCCAGGTAAGTTGACCACTATTTTCACTGCTATCATTAAAACTTCTGCTGAAGTCG